TGTTGTCCAAAATCAGCTGTTATACCGTAAAACATCGTTACTATTGCACAATTTGACAATTGCTCAAAGCCGGATCCTAAAATTCAGCGCTCGAAACAAATGGTCACCTGGTTTTTCGGAAGAACTGATCTTGTGGTAATACTTAGTATTCTTAAAGAAATGTAGAATGATCAATTCTGAGTAGGGCAGAGCCATAAGAAGCGGCTTGAGCGAATGCAGAAGGATATTGATCATAATAGTTATAATATTTTGGCTCTAAAACTTTTGCTATCTGTTTGACCGAACCTCTCCTCCAGTTTTTGGTGTGCGTCCGGATGTTATAACCAGGGCTGTAAATCTGTTTTGAACCGAACCAGTTTTTGATCCGAAACCACCGCTTTTTCCGGGCTTCGAACCCGAACGTTTTTATTTTGAAATGTCCGAAAACCACTCCAAAAGACGCAAGAAAATCCGTGAAAATTTTTCAAAAATTAACTTCAAACTTAAAATTTTTAAAATATTTATAATTTTTGCACAAAGTTTGTAACTTACATATATTTATATGGTTAAAAAAATAAACACTAAATAAACAAACGAAAAATGGCAAAAACTTGATACAATGTCGCGTCCCTATTTATGTTTCCACCGCTATATGTTCTTGTGAATATTTCAATTTGATCTCAGTAACAAAGCCTTTAGTATTTATATTATGGATTTGTCATATTTGTGTAATATATGTATCATTTAGCATAAGAAAATTAAGCCATTGGAATCGAACCAAACCGTGATTCAGGGATACTCGTGAACTGGTTCTTGTGCCGATACAAGCTTTTTCTAGGTTAGAAATTAAACTTAAATTTCCTTTCATTTTATTCATTTTGTCGCGACCAATACTCGACGTTTTCATAACCACTTCGCGAATAATTCAGGATCAGGTCGTGACTAGTGTCGAGCTACCCCGAAATGATCCCGAACTAGTCCTAAAATTGTCCTTAAGTAGTTTTGAAAAAATAGTGAACTTGTCTCGAAATGATCTTGAACAAGCCTGGAAACCAGAGATGCTCAACAAACTATATGAATCGATTTCGTTTTGTTGATGCGCAAAAATAACTTACCAAAATATGTTCGTTTCGTTTCAGAACTGAATTAACGAAACAAAACTCAATCGTTAACGTTGAAACGAAATGAATCATCAACCGTTAACATCGAAATAAAATAAATCAACGAAAAGTTGTTGTTGTATGTCATTGCCAGCCCACTATAAACACCTAGCACCTAAATGCATGCTGCAGCTTCAGAAGTAACGGTTGAATTTCTTTTCGTTAATAATCAAAATAGAATTATTTTGATAATTACCTAAACGATAAAAAACTGAATCGTTTCAACAGCAACGATTGATTTTTTTTGGTAAACGCTAAAATTAACTTTACAATGCATCCTTGCTCGAAACGGTCCCGACATGGCGCTTACTAGTCTCAAAAAGATAATCACGTAATCGGCCAAACTAGTCCCACAATGATAGCAAACTAGGCCCAAAATNAGCAACGATTGATTTTTTTTGGTAAACGCTAAAATTAACTTTACAATGCAAACGGTCCCGACATGGCGCTTACTAGTCTCAAAAAGANAGCAACGATTGATTTTTTTTGGTAAACGCTAAAATTAACTTTACAATGCATCCTTGCTCGAAACGGTCCCGACATGGCGCTTACTAGTCTCAAAAAGATCACGAAAAAATCACAAAAAGATCGTGAACTAATCACGTAATCGGCCAAACTAGTCCCACAATGATAGCAAACTAGGCCCAAAATGGAAATGAGTCAGAAATGGGCCCAAAATGATCTCGAACTAAGCCCGAAATGGTTTAGAAATAGTCCTGAACAGATCTCTCTTTCTCTTTTTATGATGTCAATCGACTCTTCAAGAAATCAACTCCGCCGTTAAAAAAAAAATATGTATGTATAATTTTTTTTTAATTACTGTTTGCATACGTATGTATGTTAGTATGTGTGTATGTATGTAAAGTCGCAAACTTGCTTGTTGTTTTTTCTCATTCACTGTAAAATCTACTGTAAAGTGGTCTATAAAGTTTTTTTTTTTGCTCACAAAAGTCCATATTGTTGTTGTTTCTTTTATTATTAGCGCTAATATTTGATTTCATCTACCGTTGATTTGTTTTTTATTTACTGTTTGTTGTTTTATATTTCTTTAGCTAAATTTAGTATTAAAGAGTAAAATATCTCCAAAATGTAATATTTATGTTTTCACTAATTTGTTTGTCACTTTGCTTGTCTATTTGCTGTTTGTTTTGCTATTTTGTTATTCCATTATTATTTTTATAATTTTTTCAAAATGTTTTCATTTTACTGTAGATTGACATTATTTACGCATAGTTGGTATAAATTTGCTAAATTTTGTATAGAAAGTCACTCGCTTATATCAGCAATCTTATGAATATTTATATAATTGATAAATAAATTATTTTGTAACAAACAATTGGCTTTAATTGAACTAAATTTATAACACTAAGAAAATTCACTAACACATAGAGATGTAAAAGTTTTTCAAACTAGTAGGTAGCAATTTTATGCACAGTGCTAGAGTAACTAAAGTGAGTTAGTAAGTTAGTTGAAAAACTAGATAAAATAACTTTGAACTTAGAGTTGACAACTTAATTTAATAGCATACACTCATATATTTGTCTAAACAATGCACAAATAGACTTTTCATTCCTACTTACTTTTAGTATTGTTTGCCGTTCGTCATTGTAATTCAACCCGAATTTCATAGATACTTTTCTTTTAATTTTTACAATTAAATTAAATGGTGATTTATTTTTCATTAGCTTTAAAAATACTTTTACTTATAAAGGAATGTTTAAATCTTCATTTTTGCATTTAAAAAAATAGTTGCTTGCAATTACTATTTTACAATAACCATTTAAGTACATAAATATTTTCTATTAATCCTAGATCTCATCTCATGCTAACTGCTGACTTCTGAAAATTAGTTCAGATTCACATGCGTACTTATAAATTGTTTTATTCAAACACTATATGTATATGTATGTAGTATACAGTGTATACGCTCAATTATGTGTTTGCGGGTAGGGTACAATTTTTAGTGATTCAGTTGTGGTGTCTGCTGTTTTCTTTTTGTATTAAAGTATACATATATAGAGTTGTTCTTCTAAGTTGCCAACCAACTTGTAATGAGATAAAATAAGCGAGCAATAACGAGAAGGAAAACAGCCCAGCAAAATGTTGTGCGCTGGGCCTGTGACCCGCCACCTAAAAAAATTACCAATGAAACGACCAGACAAGCCTCTAATTGGCGAAGTGTGTTGATCTCTACCGAAACCGAAGAACGGCTGTAGATCAAAATAAGAAAAAGAAACTTTTGGCGGGGCCGGAACTTTTGCAGACTGGGACATTTAGTTTATGCTACAGTAGCTGCGAAGTGAAAATTGAGATTTAAATGGAAAAAATCTCTAAAAATTATATACCCTTCCCCGGTGCATAGAAAACCCTCAAACGACTACAGGACGCACAGGAAAGTAATGAAGAAACCAAAAACTACCAGCGCTTGATTCTACAAGAAAGTGCGGCGGCTTATATGGTGTTTACATGAGGCGATTTTACAGGAAACTTTTAGTTGAAAGCAACAATCGCCTGGTGTGAACGACCTTTCAACTAATGCGTCCAAAGAAGTTGGGGGCAGACAACTTTTGATTCAACTAATCGCCTCTAAAATTGCCTGAAAAATCGGGGCGAATATCTGTAAGAACGACTACGGCGAACTGGTGCCTGATGTCCAGAACGCGCTTAACTTACGGTAGCAGCACCGGAAAACGTATAAATGATAATGATAGTTGATGAAGGAATTGCAAAAATCTAGCTTAAAATAGCAAAGCAGCTGAAGTCGATATTCTACCAGCTGACGTAGAGAATTTTTTAGTGCCTCGGAGTTTTTAACTTTGCTAAATCCCACAAAAAAAGTTAAATCCTTTTTTAAAAATCCGATGTTACTATTGAGGGAGAGCCGGTTGAAACTTGTACTTCATTAGACTGGAATTGTATGGGCTTTAAAACTGCATACCCAAAAATGTTCTAAAGACCCAGATTAAAAAGTTGAAATTTTGAAGAAAATTTGTTGCATTTTCCTTAATTTTGTATAAAATTCGAGTTATTGGGTATAGCTTGGACGAATATTTTATAGAAAAATAAAAAAATTAGCTCAAAAAACATTAGGAATATTAAAATAATCAACACGTGGTCATTTGTTTGAGTCACTGTATGCTACTTTGTTTGTCTCTGAAAGATAGACCTAAGTTGTTCTTTCACATTTTCAAAGATTTACATACATAAGTATATCCCATTCCTTTTGGGATCTCATCAATCATTATGGTCTAGTGGTTAGAGATGCATACTATCACTCGATCCCTAGAACATTTTTGCGTTTCTAGTACTTAAATAAATAATGTAGCTTTAATCCAAATAGAATGAGATCTGATTATTTGTTAATTTTTTAATGACTTCTTTTAGTCAACTGATTATATGTTAAAAAATACTAGATTTACTCTAAATACTTCCCAAGTGAATACTTATGGCTCACATACATACGCATGGGTTTCTATATTAAAGTAAGAGAAAACAACTTGTAAATATAAATTTCTTACTAATAAAACTATATTAAATACATATTTTCATATAATTGTGTACATGTGTATGTACATATGTAATTACAAATATTCCCTACAAGACATTGCTGAGCACTTTAGGCAAAAATTCTCACACATTTACACTTTTGTTTTTGTAGTACGGCATAAATGAGTAGTTTGACTATTAGTACTGAGGACTTTCTGATGACAACATTGAGGGGAAAGTACTCAATTTTTTCCCATGGCCTGAACGAAAATGAGGACTTTGATAAGCACTTTT